CTGCACATTATCGATTGACAGATTGAGGATTACAGTTAATGTTATGACACATATTTAATTAATTGAAAATTAATCATCGTATATAGGTACAAAATGGATATTTATCATGAAAATGTAAAACCTACAAGATTTTCAGCTAACAATCGTGAGAGGATATTAAGTAAAATCTCAAAAATCCTGAACTCCGAGGAAAATTCAAAACGGAAAGTCCCTAATCAAATGGCAAAATAAAAAGCTCAAACACATCAAACGAATGGATAACAACTGTCATATTCCTGACTTGGTACAGGCATTTTCCTATGTAGAAAAAGGTGGTTTGAACCTGGTTTTATAGCTAGCTAAACCTCTCACTTGTATAACAGTCGCATCAAATTCCTTATATTGACAACGATTCATGAACAAAACAAACAGACATTATAGGTACAAATGTCAAAAATACAGCAGTCAACATTGTGTTATAATTCTATTACAGAATAAAACATACAAATATGTAACAAAGGAGCACAAAATGGCATACAGACCAAGTATATTAGCAAAAATCAAAGACAAGAACACACAAATTAACCATGATAGTACAACAACACAATGACGGAATGTATACACAGAGTCACGTCATATATGTAACAAAGAAACATAAAAAGGCATATTGACAAAGCACATAGCCAAAATTAAAGACAAGCAACAAACAATTTTACAATAGCACAATAACGGGATGTATAAGTACAGAACCACGCTGTATGTTTAAGAAGATCTGGCAAAAATATTACTTAATTTTGGCATAATTTTTTTAAACATTTTTGTGAGTCGATATTTGTAACTTTTGAAAAGAAAAAATGGAAAATCCTCTATTTAAAGTTGTCAGAACTGATTTGTTTGCAATTAATTAATATTGATATTTCGAATTAAAAGTGTTTTTGATTTGTTACGGTTTAAAAACACATATACAATGTACGTAAAATATTAAGTTAAAAGTCATTTTATCAAAATAAAACAAAAATGTACAAATGTACACTAAGCTTATTTCATAAATTACACAATAAGTTAACGCAAAAAGTAAACGCGCATTTACTTTCAAGTGTATGTTAAGATACACTTGTGAAATCTGTAGTAAACGCCCGTTTACTTTTAAGTGCACGTAAAAATAAACTTGTGAAATCTGTAGTAAACGCCCATTTGATACTAACTAAACAGACGCAGAGTAAACGCGCGTTTACTCGGGTAGACATTAGAAATTTCCATGTTGACCGCGTTAACGTACATATAGTAAACGCGAAATTGAGGTTAACTAACAAAATATGTGCACGCGGCGTTAACGTGCGTTTACTTTATGTAATGCTTGGTCTGCACCAAACTGCAGTCTTAATTGAAAACAACGTTCAAACCTATGATTGCGTTGGATAAAAACCGCAATTTTTATACGTGTACATGCAAAACAAATTTCTTGGTAGAGGGGTCTAAATATAGCACAAACAATCTAGCGGGCCGAACAGAGCGCAAATCGTCATCCCGGCCAGGGAAGAACAAAAATTTGCTTCTGCTTTACAGCTGTTATTTAGACGATTTATATATACAGAATGGGTTTTCAGCCTTGTATCTCCATCACTGGTGATCCGATGAATGAAATATGTCGTAGAGTTGTCACTGGTTCAGACGTACTTATAATATAATTATTTCTGTGACTGCATCCTACATTAATTTGTAAGATCCTCTACGATAGATAATTCAGCTGATCTGTTATATTCCATCTTCATACCTTATATATCATGTTCTATGTTACGACGCTAGATAAAAAATGACAAGGAAAGGTAACACCCGGCCACCGAAAGCTTGATTTTTGCCTATCAACGAACATTACACTGCATGCAACGACACGTGTAAAATTTTTTTTTTCGTGAGACAAGGCAATTTCGGGACGTACGAAAGGTAAAAATATAATCCCACGAGGGATCCTGAAAATTTACGAACTATTTGAAACTGGACGTTAAACGACCAATAATCATCAATATTACAAGCATGTTTACTGCCTAATCGTTATTATTAAATCCAGAATATAAATAATGCAAAATTGTGGATTTATTTTCCTGATATACATTTAGGTGTTAAAATGTGTATGTAAATGAACAAAACAGTCTACATGTAGATAATTAGTTGATCTTTAATTAGAGTTCAAGGGCGGATTAAGGAGTGAGTCATTCCCGAGTGCCTCTACTCAGCAGACGCATTATAAGCCTCCTATTGTACATTTTCGCCTTCTTCTATTATATACAGCTAAGTCAGAGACAGTGCGGTTGAATTTTCTAAAACATCCAAGTTTGTCAGTAACTTGTTTGTTTTTCTTCTTTTTTTACCATGTAATGTTTGTTATACAGTGTAAACTATAAAACGATCATATTAAACTTAATTTGAATTGATGTTAATGATCTTCTATTTGTTGGTTTGTTGTGGTCTCCTGGTCATTTATCCTATATCTCACTTCTAGTAGTCAATTTGTTGATTGTCCCCCTCCCCATGCTTGATCGTGTTAACATCTTCTGTAAATGCTTAATGCACCTATGATTAGTCCGCAATTATTAGTTGATTAAAACAAATTAACGGCGTTTAAAAGAATGATCCCAAATCAGTTATGTATCTAGCATTAACTAAAGATATTAATAGTTAAAAAAAACATACTATGAAAATCACCTGTTGATTACTAAGGCAACAACCATTATCTTGCAAAGGCGCTATAGTATTTGTTCCATTTTACATTTGTTTCCTGCGATCATTACTTTTTTTCACATTTAACATTAAACATTAACAGAAAAAAAGTTAATCGCAAATTCTTTTTTTTTCCCAGATTTATTTCACACTACTTTTTCCAAACATTGCAGCATCCTAGTCTTTTAATTCTCGATTATTTACGTTAACAATTTGATGGAAGCGTACTCATTAAAAATAAAAATAATTATGAATTGTGTCGTTAAACTTATAGTATCATACTTCAATAATTTCATTAAAATGTTAAAAGTGAAACGCATGCTTCAACAGTTCCCTCGAATCTGTGTAATCTTGGTTTACATAAGTAACGTATCGGACGTAAGTGTAGTTAAAACTATTTTCTTTATCTTTATTTTCAGATATTAAAAGCGTGTTTTGTTTTGTTTTTTTGTTTTTTTGTTTTTTTTTTTGCGATATGCTGTAATGTTTAAAAATACGTATGAGTCAGAAAAGAATGTTGTTTGACCGTATAAACCATAGAGTTTAAGTGTTATCGTGGAAATGTCATACATGCTCGTTCGTTAAAATGTAAGAAAGCTCTATTAACAAATATGCTTCTGTAAACCAAACAGACATATTTGGTTGACGTTAAAAGGATGGAGTTCATCAGCTTAAACTGGATAAACCTTTATTAGAGCATGAATAGATATACAACATACTGACTTAAAATATCAATAAGCATAAACTAAATCTAGCAAAGACGACAAACATTGTTTGTAGTTCAAAGAACAGTATATTGAAATATAAAAACTTTCCAGAAAAAGAGCAAAAATAAAGTTAATACAACAAAACCGAATTCCTTTCTTAATTCAAATACTAGATCAAACGCTCTACTATAATAACGGTACGAATGGAAAACAATTGTCATATTCCGGACGTGGAACAGGCATTTGTTGAAGAAAACAATCAAACCCGACTGCTGGATGCAAAAACACGTCATGTCAAAAGTCATACAACCAAATCAAGCATGAATCATATAAATAGTACAAAGGGGAAAACTGTAAAGAAATAAGACTGATATACAGCGTCAGTATATAGAATTCAAGCTACAGACCACGTTGTATTATCTGTGAGGTTGACACTGAACATTATTATATAAGTCTTTAAACTTCTAGATGAACCTTTGGGAAAAAATACGAAATGTTCTTTGCTGAGACATCGATGACGTTTTACATACTATGAGTTGCAGCTATACGCGATTGAAAATGGTAGTTTAGAAAGGTATACTCCATACACGGATGAAGTTGGTATATTGCTGCTTAGGTGAGGAAAAATTATAATTTCAAAATCTAAATCGTTTGTCATATTGAACATGGTACTGATATTTTTGCTTGAGTCTAATTCGAGGTATATGTCAAATAATGTGGTTTATTTAATCTCAGGAGAAAATATTATTGGGACCCAATTAGAAAAGTTTGGATTGGAAAAGGAAAGAACATAACCAATGTACCTGTATGTGAAATTGAATGAGCTAGTGTATTTGATCTTCTTGTTATTAACAAGTGTATGAATGAGCCCTGACTGATATGACTATAAGAAAAGGTAAGCAAGGAGAGACTCACAGTTGGTTCCCATATGAAGGCTGAACATAGACATCTTATATGTTTCAGCTGGCGATTTTGCTTGATCACTTGAGTGTAGATCTTATCAGTCTCTATATTTTTCAAAAGAACTGAAGATCGGGTAAATTCTTATAAAAAACAGATTCTTCTTCAATTGAATCCACCATTAACTTTTTTTATCCCAAAGCATTGACAACAACAAAACTAGTGTAAATAATGTCAGTGGTACAGTTTCTTTGTATCCAATTAACTCATCTATCTTTATAGATATATTCACCATATTTCATAAAACTAGTGAGTGAAACCACACTTGAAATATATTCATACAAATTGTATATCAAATCATAATTTAAAATATAAAAGTCATGCTCGTTGTTATCGGTAGACAAAGATTACGAACGTAAACCATGTTTAACAAAGAACTTCTTAAAATTCACACAATTCAAGTAATGAGTAAAAGTACTACTATTTAGATATCGGTATGATATATTAATAGATTTGCTGAATATTATATCGCCATATAGGGTTATTATTTTCATGTGATTTCTACGAATTGATGGATTGTAAAACAAATTAACATGGTACGTTAAATATCAAAATCTTTTGATTCCATTGGTCGAACGTGATTCTAAATACATATATATAGGGGTATACCTTGAGAATAAAGATATTGTATTGCTTCGATTTTTGGCTGATATCTGGTAAGTTATTTAAATTTTGTAATAAGGTTAATATGGATAATCAAAACATATTTTTTTTGATAAAAAGAAATCTAAATTGTCTACTTGTATCATGAAAATACTTAGTATTCGAATTGTATTAATAACATTACAAATATATACAGGTGAGTAAACCAAAATAAACGAAGGTAATTAATGATAGGAAACAACAATATGTCGTTGCTTTAATTTATCATACACTTTAAATCTTGTCCTCTTTGATGGGGTTTTTGTACGTGAGTAAAATACAAATAAAAAAAATCGATACCTAAAATGTAACCGTGTTATATCTATGAAAATCATGAAGTGTGTAAACACCACACATTCAAATATTTTTTTGTATATAAATGCCAACACGTATATTCCGGAGACTACGCATTGTTTTTGTGTTGATAAATGAACTTGAGAAAGTCAATCTACACTACATGGTATGACAAAAATAAAGAAATAAAATTATTCTTTTAGGTTTCAGAATCTAGCATTAATATTTCCTGTCAGTACTACACGGTAAGGTTTAAAATATTTAAGTTGTGTTGCAATCACAAAATGGAATGCGTTGCCAAACCACTTTACAGCTCAGTAATCATTCACATCATAAGAAGTCTAATATAGTCTTGGAATTGCAAACAATGACACTGTAATTATTGTGATTGAGCTTATGCCTGCTATATTATGTGTTTTCTTGTTAAGTTAATATTTTGTTTAGCATACTATTTTGTGGTTTAACCTTTGCTCTCTAACGTAGTGCTGATTGTTAAACTGATATTAACAACCTTTTAATGTATATGTATCAACATTGTGATAGATATATCATATATTGAACATCAAACGGGTATTTGGTGTAAAGTTACTAGTTGTTCAATTTCTTTCACACTATATTAAATGAAATCGGTTAACTTTTTACTTATTTATTGTTTGTTTAACGATATATTTAAGAGATAAATGTTTTTAAAATTGAAGTGATTTACTTTCAGATTCCTCCTGAAAGAAAATGCCACATGTTGAAGTTACCATGCATGTTTTTTCTGGTCGGGAAAATCCAAAATGGAAAATTGATGGAAATCATCACAAATTCGGAGATATTGTTGAAAAAATAGAAAGCCATGTTCAAAACGACATGACAACAGGTAAACTGTAAACAAAATTGATTTAATATGTTCATATGTATCAGAAATATAATAAACTTCATCCTTATAAGGGTGAGGCAGGACCGTGTCACATCTAAGACTAATATATATCCTATCTAAACCGAGTCTCTGCCGAGATTAAGAAAAAGAAATATTTTAGCGAAAAGGAGTAAATTCGGTAAAGGCCATTTTTGGCCCCGATTATAAAGTTCAATGTGACTTCATAAAAAATGTTTTAAGTTGACTTACAGACAAGTAAGAAAGTGAAATAGAACTATTTGTGTCAAAGTTTTATTCTTACGCGTTGATTTCTACATATCAAATAGAACAAGATAAGATATTTTGACGAAATTTGACAAAATCGGCCGGATTTCAACCAAATTTAGGACCAGGAAACATAGAACGCAGGCGTCGACAAACTAAATATTCAAGTTAGACATGTAAAATGTCTTTACAAACATTACTTTAAATGATCATTTTTGTCGACGTATGCGCTCTATGTTTCCTGTCCAAAAATCAATGGAAATTTACCCATTTTCATTGATTTTTTCGTGGAAAATTAAAAAGAGTACTATTTGTGACGTCATGAAGAAAACGCAGGTACATAAATTTTCAACAAAAAACCTTATTTCCTATCTAGTCACTGTATTGAGCTATGATTCATTGTGATATTGGTCAATAGTTCTTATATGATTTGCATATTAGGGAATACGTTGATATGTTTAATTGGTCGAGAAGGCTACCGGTAGTTGTTCTTGACGTTGGTTATTTTTCGATAGACGACGTTGAACGAACATCAATTTGTGCACCAATGTAAACAAGATGCCGGCGATAATAACACAATCCGGCTCGACGTTAATAATATTTAATTTCACTTCGCGTTAATCGTTAAATTAAATAATTAACACACAATCTACATTTGAATGATAATAAGAGTTTTTGTAGTTTATTTTTTATCAGATAGCGAATTTCAAGAAGTCACTGCGACATATTTTTGCGTTAACCTACAAAAATATGCATGCGCCAGGCCATTTCAATGACACCAATATACAATTTACGTGTAATAGAGGTTACGAGTATAGAAAAATAAATTCCTTATCTCAAATTTCAAAGAATTATAAGCATGTAATTCCTTTTTAAAGGAATTTATTGGCACAAACATATCATAAAAGTCCTTACGGTTTTTATTTGTTTATGAGTGAATTGGTCAAGTTTATACACCAATAAATTCCTTTAAAAAGTCGTTTAATCCTAAAATAAATCCTGATTTGAAAATTAAGCTTAACAATGGAATCATTTTAGGGCCTTATCGAGCCTACTCCTTTGTTTGTTATCCAAGTCTCCACAAATAGCGGTCATTGATACATTTAATCAAATTTAAAATTACTATGCTAAACCACTGCCATAGACTATTATGTGAGATAACAATATCTCTCACTAGAAATGGCGTGACATCACTGTACCACTGAGAAACTATACATACTGGAATGAAATTATTATGTGAGAATATGATATATCCTTTAGTAGAACATTTGTAGAAAGGGTGTGACGTCACTATTTCACTGCAAAACTTTACTTACTAAAATGAAATTTTTAATATATCATATAAAGAGCCGAAAAGTTTATACCAATTATTTCATTCTTTGATTTGGTATATCATTTTGATTTGATTATTTTGTCATGACATGCTACTGATCATATTCTCGTTATCTTATGATATTGTTATTATTTGTAGGATTAGGTTACAGTGGCTTCACTGTTCGTCATGATAACACAATATACAAGATCCCAAAAAAATCAAACATCGAACTTGAGAAGCTTCTACTTCACAGTAGTAACCATGTCAGGGAAGCCCAATCATCGTCTCTTCAACACTTCATATCGAAGAGTGTCATAGATCATGTTTTAGGACATCTGGACGGGAATTTGGGACAAGAGGTACACAAGTAACGATTCAAGTAATCTTTCCTTCTAAAAGATATTTATCCGCTAGATTGTGTCTAAAATTACATGGATCATAATTACCTTTGATTTTTATTTCTATGAGTTGGAAAGAGTTATTTCAAACATGTTGTATAATGAAAGTAAACCGTAAATGAATAGTTGGAAAGTCATTGAAATAGATAATATATTCAGACAATATTCTTGGATAAAATCACAGAAATGTCTGCCTATTCCAATATTTAAGAAATGCATATTCAATAATTCAATCACCTCTACGAATATGTGTTGTTTTAAACTGACGTGCATTTATAGTTACGTGCACTTATTTTCAATGTAATATGGGTTTCCTATTTGAATCCAACAACGTCATGTACCACGGCAACATGCTATGTTACATTTCGATTAATTTCGAAATGTAGAAATGATTTTTACTGTTGTCCGAGGGAAGACATTCAGTCACAAATATAAAGGGTATCATTCATAATATTTAATCAAAAACGGTAATTGTAAAGGTTAAAAGTTAATCAATTTCTCGTTTTTACAAAATGTCAAAAGAAAATAAGACAGTTCTTGCCCATTCAGTGTTGTATATTATATAAATGCAGTAGCTACTGCTAAAAAGCAAAAGAATATCATCAGATGCGAAAAAATAGCATCTTGTTTATGTAAAAGCCGAAGAACATATTCATTGAACACAATAACACCCGTCCAGTTATATATAAAGGGGAAACAATGCGTCACTTAAACGTCTAACGTAAAACTATATTACAGTTGCTATTGAACTAAAATTACATTTCTTCCTAGTTAAAATATTGTGTGCATACGATTTCTCCTGAAATTTATATGAATGTATTTGAACAAATATATTGTTTAATGATACTCTCCAATGTGGTTACATGTATGCCAACTCTTTAAATAAGCAATAAATAGAATATAACACATTGTTCAATAAATCGCATGGGTCTCACTTGTATCGATGTAGGGGCAACATGGTTGTTGTGCATATGTTTCGAAGTGTATTATACATTAAACATGTTAAATTTGACGAAAATTCATTTTCACATTGTACGAGAACTGATTGAACTATACCGTATCAGACTTTTGTCGTGAAATCACACTGTTTATATTTAACTAGTAATCTGGTAATTTTAAGTGTTCACTTACTTTTATGCCCAAACAAAAGATCAACCATTAGCTCTAATGACCATGGAATGCTTATTTTCTGGATCAGATGAGTATTTGGATTAAACGCATATGGTATGACCTTATGAGTGTAATTCATTATGGATAGATACGAGCCTGACGATACGAGTAGTTTGACCATATAATGCGATGACTTGTTCTGAGTATTTTTCTAAAGCCTTCTACCCTTACGAAACGAATTAGCCTATACAGCTGTTTTGTATTTTTTGCATTGGAGTTATTGTCTGAAGACATTGCTTGCGGAAACTTTGATATTAGGGATATGCTTATAGAACATTGAGATATACAAATACATACATGCATCTTGTATTTTTTTTACATTGAATTATGGATACGTAAATAACTCTTGAAAATAATTGAAAACATAAAATCTACGTTTGAAAAATCAAATTCTGAATTATTACATTAAACTTTCCAGTTCAGGTTCTATAAAACTTCGACTTTCAACTAGAAAATATACAATATACAAGCATAATTTTCTCTCTATGTTCCAGACTTTTTTTTACAATTGCATAAAACACTGACATATATATTTGAATCTACCAATACAGTGTTTTGTTTACTTTTGCAAACTCGGATGATCACATTGCAAAATATGTAAAGGTACCTTTATGATTTGATTAAAAACTTTCGGCTCGTACATGATGTTCAGTATATACCCATATGGTTATGACCATACGTGTATGATCGTAATATTTATATGTTCTGGGACATGTTAATGAATTGATTAAAACCGTCCGAACAATACGCGTATGGTTGGACCGTTTGACTATACCCATATGGACATGATCCAAATACCCATATGGTCCGAAACAGTCACACAAGCAACTGGAGAAGGATAATAATACTGCCGAAAACCTGAATAATCATTCCGCATCTTTTTCTGGAATAATTGACGCCTAGATGTCCAAGTAGCATAACATGATCGGTAAAACGGTAATACATATATATGTACTTTTAATCCATTTCTTCCAAATATGATTTTTTGGGAGGGTTCATGCTACTGAAACAATACCAAAACCAATAAACTAAAGCAACAGGAAGGCGTGCTTCATAGATTAATCCAAAGTATTAGACCTACAATGTATCTTAGGTTTTGAATTCTAGATAGGTAGAACAGACCCACAAGTTTAAGTTTTTATTTTAGGGAGATCTACAACTACCTGCATATGATCCACGTAGTTGGAATATTCAAAGTGTACAACCATACAACAATTGCTACAACTACGCCAACAATATGAAAACCAATACCTTCGCACAACCGGGAAGAGCGTCCGGTCTTCCAATGGAAGAAATTACCGGTGTAGTTGTCCAGAAAAATGCAGAGGCAGATGGTTTACAGTTGCAAGTTGTTGCTGAAGATGGTAACGTCCCGATAAATATTCGCAATCTTGTTGCGCTTGTCATATGGCCATCACAAGATTTCCACTGGTTTCGACTTGACAACAATAACCAATTCTCACACAAACCAGGGCAAAGTTTCGTTCGTGATTATGACGAGGATCATGATATCATAACAGATCCTCGCCAGTGCAATCTAGGTCCATATAAATTCGTAACATTCATGACAACTGTCCCTCAATTGGTACATATTGACTAGAAAGATATGCTGGAAAATAAATAAATAATTTGCAGAGTTTTTGCTGTTTTGCTGGGTCAAATAACGATAAGATTTGTTTTGTATGTGTTTATGGTACCTCAACTGACTACAAGTTAGGGTGAGCTTTTGGCATTACCTTGTATCCGTCGTCTGTTATCTATCGGTTAACTCTGAGAACTATTTTCTGGAACTACAGAAGGTGTCTAAACTTTGCAGGGATGATCTTTGGTATATCCTTTTCAAACTATTCTTATTTTATTTCCGAAACCATCCCCCCCCCCCCTAAAAAAAAGTCTTGGTTGTCAGGGCTAAAATATATTATAAGTTAAAACTGAAGTTTTTGGCTTATTACACAAATGTTGAATTTTTTGTTTTATATGATATTTATCGATTAAGTTTCTTCTATTTGATAAACAGTTCAAATATATATGTCAGAATATGTTAAAATAGCATGTAGTTTACCACGATGAAAATATTTTGGTCAATTAAATACTATATTTGAAATTCAATAAATTAGCTTCCTCTATTAAGACATCGAACCATATACGTTTGTAAAGTATATGTTGCTGCCTAAATAGACACAAATAAAAGTAAGTAAGGCCACGCCAAATTAATACCTCGTTCGTCGGATTTTCCGCGTGTTGTGAAAGGTCGACGAGAAAAAAAGCGTCCAGTACGGAGCCGCGCGCGTTTTATATTTATATACTAAATTAATATAACCAAAATTTTAATCAGTTATGCGTTTTAAAATCACGTCATACAGACAAGAAATTTGACATAAAAACGATCTAGATCTAACATTCACAACGTTTTTGTATTATGGACAAATAATAGGATATATATTCCAAACGTAAGACACGAGTGGAATATGTGTAGTTACAGTGGTAACGCAGACAACAGTTTACTACCAAACACAGCAGTGGGATGTGATTTGGACGATTGTTTTACCGATATGTTTGAAGTGCTCCGTGCAAGATCACAATTTGGCACAAAGCAACAATGCCATCGAATAGGAAGATTTGAATACTGAAAATATAACTCGATGAAAAGAGTAACCCGAAGATGGCAGAAAATGCATTGAAATGGTACCGCGATGATACTATTATATTTTTTACCTTTTTTTTATCTTTTAGAATAAAAGTTTTTTCCCTTGAAACTTTCATTTATATTTGAATACCATTACAAAGTTATAAAGCATGGAAATTAACAAGAACGTGTTAATGGTACTTGAATATAATTCAATCAATTCAACTTAACAATTTACAAAATCTTCTAAAAATAAGAATTTGTACGATTGTCAATGAGACAAACTTCCACCAGAGACCAAATTTGTTGAGGTTTGTACCCAGTCAAGTTCACAGTATGGCCTTCAACACAGAGCAATCTCCCAATATACATAAAGATCTGATTGCTATAAAATTCTTCTCCCCCTAGGGTGACTCGTGAATAGAATGTGGCTCATCATAGGTCTTCCTTCGACTGGAAGTAAAACCCTCGCTAGTGTGGGGCATTCGTATGGCTGTGCGGAATGTATAAGTGCACAGTCACGCCCGGTTAGAATTGGGACGTTAAATCTGATGTCTCGTGTTAGGAGAGTGCCACACTCTTTGCGCATTAAAAACCCTTGCAACAACTCTTTGAGAAAACAGTAAGTGGCCTGTTGCAAAGGCTGAATTTCTGTCCCTGTCCAATGTATATTGTACCCTCATTTTCCCGTGGCAGTCCAAATTTCACCGACCCTCGTCCCGGACCGCCTCTGTTGCAGGACCTACCCATTGTGTTTATTGTTAATTTGTTGAATGTTCTCATCCTGAAAATGCATGAAACATTTGTCATTGGATGTTAAGCAACCAACAATCAATTAATTAATCATATTAAATTCTTCAGCAAAGCATGACTAATAAGTGGAATGTATTAAAATGATTCTTTTGTTTAAATAGTATATATAGCATCTGGTGTGATGCATTTGAATACGTAGAAGTATACTTAATGATTTTTTGAAGGACAGTCCTTAATAAATTTTCGCCTTGTTGTAAACACAAATATGTATTATAGTGTTATTAACTGGCTGTTTCTGTATTGGCCCCGTTATAGATTCGAGGTTAGTTGTAACGGACCCAAGACTCGAAGAGTCGAGGGCCAATACAGCTGATCGAGAATCTATAACAGGGCCAATACAGAAACAGCCAGTTAATAACACTTTTATTTATTGATTTTATTTATTTTAATTATAATAAACTAAGAAACTTACCGTGAAGAAGATATAGAGATTCATATCTGAACTTGTCTTTTCGCATTCACGTCCATGGATTTTTTGTCAACATTGTCAGACGTAATTTCTAATTTCTCGTCCAAGTTCTTAATATTTTGCTATTACAATTCATTTTATGTAACAAATATAAAGTAGCTTGGAAGAATAAATCAGGCAGTTTAACTATTCTGCGTTCTGACGAGTGATCAATGGAAATGAAACAGTGTCAAAAATCAAAAGTTGTACTCGAATAGGCTGTGAAATATGTCCGTTTCATGACTTAAAGACCTTACAAAACACTGAACATCATTTAAACTTTACATTTTATGATATTAAGTTAAAAAAATATAATACAAATGTTTGTTATGCATAACGATACGTCCAAGTTAAGCAAGGCGTGAGAAAATGGAAACCGGAAGTGAACGTCCCGTATTAGCCCATGGGCCGACCCTGTTTTTCCTTATTGTCCCTGTCTGAAAAGCAATATTAACTCTTGATTTATATTGAAAGGACAACGTCATCACTATTGCACATGCTGATTTATCCGTACTAGGGCTGATTTGCCCATATCAATTAATAAATTTGTATATAAAAGCTTTATACATGCGTATATGCTTTGCGTACGTTTATTTGAAAAAACATACAATTCTATATGCGCCTGTCCCAAGGCAGGAGCCTGTAGTGCACCGGTTGTTGGCTCAAGTCTGTCAAATTTGTTTTGGTAAATTGTTTTGTTATGAATTAGCTGTTAGTTTTCTTAAATGAATTGTGAGAAATATAATTGTAAATATCAATTTCTTTGAACTTTTGGGGAGAGTTGTTTCATTGGTAATCATACCACATCTCCTTATTTTTATAATGCATCAATTATAACTGTCATCAAACATGAATTTGCACCTGTTCAGTGCTGTTGTACTATTTCATGTTCAGCTGGATCTTTATTTGAGCAGACTTCACGAAATTATCTATGCTTTGCTACTAGTTAACAATTTGTGTACTAGAAATGTTGTAAAAGATTCAACAGGGTGTCTGGGAACATATTAAGAAGCAAAGTAGGGTAATATATAAAAAAACATGAAGCACCAAAACTGTATAAATTTCTGATCGCTCGCTTGCATAAAATGCTTTTCATAAAATTTATGTTTTTAATATTTCAAAAATAATATCGCTCGCTAGTAAAACATACTTTCGCCTGCCAAAAATGAAACTGAAAAAAAAAACAAATACAAAAATTTCGCTCTCTCGCTACCCTTTTTTACGGAAAGCGTGCGAAGAACTAGAAATTAATTTAGTGTGGCCTAAATGTGTTATGATTGCCAATGACTACTCCCCCCGCCCCCGTTCAAACTATGTGAATATAGCCAATGTTGGGCCATCCCTGCACGGTCAGACATTGTTGTGCTAAATTTCATATTCAAGAATTATACATATTTATACAAAAAAAAGTTTCTTTTCAAGCGGTGCACAGAATTATATATTAAAACTTTAATACACAAAAAAAGTTTTAAAAGCAGCATTGTCTCGCACTTTCATCCATCTTGGGACTTTTCAAGAATATGACTTGTTAGTCTTGAAATTGTGTATTTAATTTTACAATTGTCGAAATCCTGGTATGGTGTACTAATTTTTGCACCTTTTGTTTGCGGTATACCATCTTTTCCGCAAGTTTATTTTTTTCTGTTTGGTATTAAATTAATAGTTAAGATCCATTTTGTTACAACGCAATCATAGGTTTGAACGTTGTTTTCAATTTAGAGTCTATCCTAAATTGAGGTGAATTATATGGCTTTCCAAATACCGTTTCGATTCCTAACATCACTGAAGAGACATCAATTGTCGAAATCCGATTATGATGTACTAATTTTTGCACCTTTTGTTTGCGGTATACTATCTTTTCCGCAAGTTTATTGTTTTCTGTTTGGTATTAAATTCATAGTTAAGATCCATTTTGTTACATCTGGTGATCCGTTTATTTTTCAATCGCCAATGGCAGTCAGCAGAGTTTAAGAACATCCGTTGTTCGACCTGCTAGTCAAATGCGTTTTGTTAAAATATACTTTTTCACTTTTTTGGTCTTTTGGAAAATGTTGTTTGTGCTGTATTTAGACCCCTCTACCAAGACATTTTTTTTGCATGCACACGTAAAAAAATTGCGGTTTTTATCCAACGCAATCATAGGTTTGAACGTTGTTTTCAATTTAGACTTGTTTAATTTTATATATATATATAATTCGCCCAAATAACAGCCCAACAATGTTAGATCTGTAAATTAGCGTTAGCAAATTTGTTGTTCTTCCCTGGCTTGGATTCGAACTCATGCTACTAAGATATCGTGGCACCAAATCGCCTTGCACTGTGCTCGACGTGCTAGACCACTCGACCACCTAGGCTCCTACATATATACAGAAATGTGTTTTCAGCCTTGTATCACCATCACTGGTGATCCGATGGATAAAATCTGTTGTAGAGTCGTCACTGGTTTATATATATAAGTACGTCTGAACCAGTGACAATTCTTCGCCGGATTTTATCCATCGGATCACCAGTGATGGTGATCACAGGTAGTAACCTCGTCATATCCAGGAGCGTTTAGTACAGTGATTGTGTCATTGTTTGGTTAAGTTGAACATGGTTGAGTAAAGTTACTTCCCCGAACGATTGCCTCAGTTCTATTCAAACGAGCTAATAAAAGTTTGATTCTGTATTGTAAGTCGAACGAAATGAACGCAGCATCAGCAATCTATTGAAAATGCTATGGTTTGGTTAAGCTATTGACATGGTTCGGTTA